GAGAGGGGGGGGGAGGGGGTTCTCCTCGACCGTAGCCCAGGAATATAATTTACAACTAATTGTTCAGTAGTTGTCAGGCTACCGGACCCGTTATCGTGAGGGGGTTGGAGCCACAGGCCCGACGTTGTGTCCTTGGGAAAGGCACTTTACACGAATTTTCCTCACTTCACTCAGGTGGGAATGGGTACCCGACCAATGGCAGCGACAGAGCTTGTCAGTATGTTAGTGTTTTAGCTCCTATAAATGGCTGCTTGCACCGTATGTTTCCCAAGAAGTTGAGGTTGTTTCAGAATGATCTCAGGTCTGCTGTTGGGGTAATAGTGTAGATTGTGAAGCGCATAGAGCTTGCTGTTGAGCGGGGATTTGTGCTCTGCAAACGCTATAAATATCTATTATTAGTATTGACTGGCACTCCGAGCGCGTGCGTGTTGGGTTATTTGTGTGTAGCGACAGCGCAGCGTGTCGCCTCAAGAAAGGCCAGAGTTGTGTGTGTGTGTGTGTGTGTGTGTGTGTGTAGCGTGTGGAGTGTAGTATGTTACGGTTATCTAATACGGGGCCACGGAACCATGGCTCGATGTTTGGGCTAGATTTATATAAGGATTGTTTACAAGAAACGCTCCTCCTCGAATACATTAGACTTCAGTCTCTGGGCTGTGATAATCTGTGCGGAGCATAGCCTAGGGGGACTCCTGAACGCCATCATTCTTTCATTCATTCATTCATTCCTTCATGATCCATTCATTCGCTACTCTTCATCCATTCGTTCTTTCATTAGATTGTTCCATCGTTCAGCGTCAAAGTCTTGGAGAACCAGACCTGCCCTAGAGCTCCACACACACACACAACGGTCTACACGACAGCTCCACATCTTTCCAGCCGCAGGTGGGTACTATTAAAATTATTTTTCTCCCTCTTTCTCCCTTTTTCTCCCCCTTCTCTTTATTTTTTTCTCTCTCTCTGTCTCAATCTCAACCCCCACCCCCCATTCTCTCTCTCTCTCTCTCTCTCTCTCTCTCTCTCTCTCTCTCTCTCTCTCTCTCTCTCTCTCTCTCTCTCTTTATGCATCTGTCTCACTTTCCGTCCGTCCCTCTCTTTCTGTCCTGTACATCTCACTGCCTGACGGTATGTGAACCTTGTGACTGGGACTCCAAGATCCTAAACCACTAGACCATCTTCTTTCTAACAATTCAATGTTTCTTTGACCCTGTCCTGCGTAATTGGTTTGTTCCTTCTTTGCTATCAAGCATCATCCTTATCTTTCCTCCTTTTATTTGTATAATGTAACTCTCTAGTAACACCGCTTGTGGTCGGCACTGGTATGACCTAATTATGTAACAAGTGCCGTAAAACTCTTTATAGAACTAGAACCCCAATGACTCACTCACGTTTGGGGGAGGGGGGGGGGTGGGCTTTGTGGTCTAGAGTTACGGTGTTCGTCTTTCATTCAATAGGTCCCATGCTTGAAACCTGAGGGTGACAGAAGCTTTTGTTCTGTCAAATGTTCGTCTTTCACCGTCTTTCCTGCTCTCTATTCATATTCTGTCATCTATTTCTTCTCCACTTTCTGCCTTTCCCGCCCATCCCCTTCCTCTGGGCCCCCGAAACTTTCTACTGCTACTCTTGACTGCTTCTTACTGATGTCTCTCAGCCACACCCCTGATCTTAGGGTGGGTAAGATCGAACACCCTGCCTTCTCGGATAAGGGTCGAAAAAATCTCTGAGATTCCATTTACAAGTTGTGCATGTTAAAGATCCCTTGGTTCGTTTACCCCGGGTAAAGTTCAAAATTAATTCCTACGATACTGAACATGATTTTAATTAATGTCCCGTTCGCTCATATGACCTTATGCGAATACCGTAAAACACAAAAAACTCCAACAAAATAAAAACAACAACAACAACCCCCCCCCTTCAAACTAATCAAACAATCCTCCGGTTTGTTAGTCCCCCGGCCAGCCAGGATGATCATCAAGGGTTTGCTGGCGCTGACAGTCCTGTCCTCGTTGTTCCTCGGCCTCTTCCTCTACACCCCGCTGCCTGAAGGGATGTCCAACCCAGGGAAGGCACAGGTCCTTATGGCCATTATGCGGTTGGGCTACTGTGTGGTGGGTGCTTCCTGTTTTGTCTGTGTGTCTGTCTGTCTAAGTGTCTGTGTGTCTGTATGTCTGTCTGTCAGTATGTCTGTCTGTCTGTCTGTCTGTCTGTGTGTCTGTCTCTCTGTGTACTTGCACAGGAAAACTTTTAGCTTTTCTAAGATTACTTAGGTTTGTGATACACCCATCACAGAATTCTCGCACACACACACACACACACACACA